GATCTAAGGAGAGAAGGTAGGAGGCCACAGGTCCAGGACCATGCCTGAGGCTCAAATCTAAGGAGAGAAGGTAGGAAGCCACAAGTCCAGGACCGTGCCTGAAGCTCAGATCTAAGGAGAGAAGGTCCAAGGCCGCCTGGGCTACACAATAAGACCTTATCTCAGAAGTCCACAGTGAGAAACAGTTCTTAAACAAGTAACCAACCAATCAACTAACCAGCCAATAGCAGTCATGATCTATAACAAACAAGAATGTTTATTATTGGTACAAGAAGCCACATGAGTAAAATCAAGCATTTAGTGTTTTCAAGGATATGTTCAATATGTGAACTCAACTCACATATTTACAAACAGATTTACAGTTATGTTCTGACATTTTCTCTTCTATCGTATTAACACTTAGGATGACTCTTAAAACTCCTTAGTGGTAGAAATAACATAAAATAATTAGCTTCAGAACTGCTAAGCCAAACAATCATAAAACTAGCAATTGGTTTGAGCAGAAACTCAGGAAGTTGTTATGGAAAAGTCCATGTACTGTGTTACATTATAAGCATAGTTTCTTCCTAGAGGGCATATTTAGGGTCAAATTTTTGGAAATGCTATCAATGATAAGTATGGCACAGTCACATGGGAGCTAGTGTCCTCATGTCCCTGATGTGCATCTGCTGGAATGGCTCCCTCAGAAGTTTACAGACAGAACATTTCTCAGTGAAGCTGCATGCCCGCCCGATGCACACACAGAGCCCCTCTCTGTGAGTATTATGAATAAAATTGGTGCACTGAGGGATCTTCACGCACTCTTCAGCCATATTCTGCGCGCCTGGCGCGGCTGTTTGAAGGGAGCATGTGTATATACATTGAGCTCTATCTCTATAAACCCACTCTATGTTCTGTGTCAGCAAGATTTATTTCTAAGTCATTGGTTTATAAATAGTTGATTATTAGGACCAGATGTTATTTTTTAAAAATTTTACATACTTTTTACCTATATATATATATGACATCTAAGTAATGTTCTTCACATTTGTTATCTGCATGCCCAACCTCTAATAAATAATAAAGTTTTGTTTTAATCTGAACAGCCTTTGACTTTTCTAGACATGAAAGCACATGTTTACAAATAGGTTTATCTTTTCACCATTTGTTAATTTTTTTCCAGCTTGTTAAATTAGCAACTTTTTTATTAATATAACCTTGACCCAGAACCACTCTGATTTTGCCTACTTCTAGAATCCACATTACATTATATCCTAAAATAGAAAAAAAATTTAAAAATCTCAAGGGCATCTTCACATGAAATGCTGACATGCCAAACCTGTCATATTTGTATCTATGCACCATTTTTTGTTAAATAAATAAGAAATGTTTTATTCTTCACTGCAATACAGAATGAGATGTTCCTAAAGTAGAGACGTAATATTCCCAAATCTTGATCCACTAGTTTATTTCATTATAAATCTTCCCTCGATCATTCCCTAGGAGGCTTAATAATCACCAGAATTTCCAAGCAGACACTAAGCACAGAGGTCTAATACCTGGCTCCCATCTTACGGTTGAACTGTAGCAACGCTTGCAGGAGGACAGCCAGCGGGCTGAAGCAGACCTTCAGGGCCTCGCTTGTGGCTTCGTGAACCAAGGATGGCCAGTGATCACCGGAGACATCAGCCTAAAAACGCACAATAAACATTGACTCTAAGTTTTAACACGTTTACTTTACAAATGGATTGGTCCCTGCACTGAGAAGAGAAAGTGGACATGAACGAGCTCCTACCCTAACCCCACATGCTGTCTCCATCTGCTTGCTAAGGAAACTTCCCTGGGTACACTACCCACACTTCAGGGCAGCCACAAGCCCAGGAGTAGAAGGCTACAATAGGAACTCAATGGTGTTTTCGTAGACTTTTTGTCTCGTGTTGCTTCATTTGAGCATTTTTTTTTTGTCTTACTGGTATTTTGCTTGTAAATTATGGTTTCTAATTTTGTGTTCTTATGGGTTTTATTTGTGTGTGTTTGTGTGTCTGAGTTTCTTGTGCCTTTTCTTTTAATTCTGGTTTGTTTTACTTGCCTGTTTCTTTCTTTTTTCTTTTTTTAACCTTTAATCTTTTTTTACAGTCAATCGTTATCCCCCTCCCAGTCTTCCCTCTGACTGCTCCTCATCCTGTTCCTCCTCCCCTGTCTTCAAGAGGATGTCCCTACCCACAACCCTACCCTACCAGGCCTCCCCACTCCCTGGGGTTACAAATCTCTTGAGGGTTAGGTGCATTTTCTCTCATTGAGGCCAGACCTGGCAGTCCTCTGTTTTATATGTGTCAGGGGCCTCATATCAGCTGGTGTATGCTACCTGGTTGGTGGCTCAGTGTCTGAGAGATCTTGGGTTCAGGTTACTTGAGACTGCTGGTCTTCCTATAGGGTCACCCTCTTCCTCAACTTCTCCCAGCCTTTCCATAATTCAACCACAAGGGTACCTGGCTTCTGTCCATTGGTTAGGTGTAAATATCTGCATCTGTCTCAGTCAGAGACTGAGGCTCATCAAAGCTATAATGGCATGGTGTTCCTCCACTGTACACCCATTCTTTCAAGAGAACTGTTTCCAGGTCCTGCACAAACGTTTGGAAGTTTATATTTGGCGAGCATTATAGTAAGAAATGACATGAAGCTCTCCAGGCCTGAGAGATTTTAAGTTGTTTTCCAAATGGTAGCTTTCTTTCTCAGAGACTTCTAACTTCAGAAGTACGTGTCTATCTGCCATGCTACTCAGGCCTCAGTACAAAAACACAAGTGTTCAGAACTATTAATAAATTTGAAGATGGCAAGTATAAGTATGGACCTCTGTGTGGTGTTATTATTCCTTCATTTGCTCCAGAACTACTTATTGGGAACTGACCACCTATCCACAAAGCATTGGTAAAGTCGAGGAGGAAAAAGAAACATGTGTCAACAGCAACACCACCAATAGCATCCATCTCAAAACATCTTTCCATTCTTTTCTTTCTTAATTAAAATATATAAAGCGAATTGATCATATTTACATAGAATAATTAGGTAAAAACAAGCTATTCCAGGCCTGCATAGGACAGTCTCTTATAATCATGTAAAGTAGAAAGAAGGACAGCTCATCTTTTAATTATGAGTTATATGAATATGATAATTCAAATACTATCAAAAGATATGATTTAAAAATTTTCCCTTATCTCTAAGAACTGTCATTATAGTTTTTATGTATCTTTCCATGAATTGGTATTTATGCACTTCCGTGCTTGAATATCTACAAACACACATAGTATATATATCCTGACTCTTAAACATGTACCAAATACATAAGTGCTCAAATAGGATTATAGTAAATAAATTGTTCTGCAGGGTCTTCACTCTCATGTACATGTTATCTTTAAGAATTTTCCCTACTGGCAATAAGACTTTTTGGTTAATAATATGTAAAACTGGCATCAGAAAATAGGATATCAAGTCATAGGTCCCTAGAAATACCTTGAGGAATATCAAATTGAATTAAGAAAAAAAAAGTTAAATTCTGGCATCTTTGTCACAAAAAGTAACAGACTTGAATTCTTAAAAATTCAAGATACTAAGAATACACTTGCTATGATTCAACCTTTTTTTGTTTTTTGTTTTTTTTTTTTTTTTTTGGTTTTTTTTTTTGGTTTTTCGAGACAGGGTTTCTCTGTGTAGCCCGGGCTGTCCTGGAACTCACTCTGTAGACCAGGCTGGCCTCGAACTCAGAAATCCTCCTGCCTCTGCCTCCCAAGTGCTGGGATTAAAGGCGTGCGCCACCACTGCCCGGCTGATTCAACCTTTAAAATTACAATCTGAGAATGTCTCTAAACAATTTTGAAATTCTGTTGTATCTGTGGGTTCCTATTGTTCTATGTTTCATTAGAGCTCA